AACTAGTAGCAGGAACTAAATAGTCAACAATCATTTTCATCAACTTCATCTCAAAAGTTTGATGGTTTGCTTTTTCAACAATAGTCTGAAACAGCTCCTACCAGATGATCACGAGTCTATTGTCAAATTCTGAAATTTCAGCAAGAAGCTCAAGGAAGATGTCTGAGATCCTAAAGAATAAGAATTGTGTGGTGGAGACCAAAGATTGCTTTTTAGCATTGTCAGACTTTCTCTCTAGTTTGTGCAAATTTTCAGCTTCCTTGGAGCAAGACAGAGGTAGAAAAGACAGCTGGGGTAAGGAAGGGAGAGTAGGATGCTTTTGAAGAAGTTTTGGAGATAGAGAAGAAACTGTGGAGCACTTAACATGTGTACGGCATTTGGGGAGATTACTGTCTAAAGATAATTTTTAAGAACGTAAGCTCCTTACTGGAAGGGCAACATGATGTAGTGGTTAAGAGCATAGAGTTTGGAACTGAACCTATCAGGGCTCAAATCTGAGCTCTACCATTTACTATCTGTAGGACCTTGAGCAATTTGCTTAATCTCTATGTAACTCAGTCTCCTTGTCTGTAAGAGCGAGGTAATCATAGAATCTATCTCATAGGACTGTTATGAATATTAAATGAATCGCCATATGCAAAGTATTTAGAACAGTGCCTGATACAAAATAAGTCCTATAGAAGTGGGTGGGGTGTCCTTTGTATTGTACAATGTGCTGAGACAGACCTAAAGGCTGATTCTATTTAGGTCATATTGGATGTAAACATTACTAGTTGCTCAGCACTGTGTGTTTGTTGCTGTTTAAAAGGCATGAAGACCTTTAATTTTTAAACAATGAATATTTTATTGATTTCAAAGTAATGGATAGCCTACTGTCAGTCACTGGAGTCTGGTGTGTGCTTGTGCATGTGCATTTGTATGTGTGCATGTGTATGCCCGTGCACATGTATATGTGTATGAGTTATGAATAGGGTGCATATGTGGGTTCCATCTGTATAAAGAAGCAAGATGTGAGGCCAGCCCAGTGGTGTAGTGGTTAAGTTCAGCATGCCCTGCTTAGGCAGCTTGGGTTCTTGGCTTTGGATCTTGGGTGTGGACCTACATCACTCATCAGCCATGCTGTGGTTGTGACCCACATATAAAGTGGAGGAAGATTGGCACAGATGTTAGCTCAGGGCTGGTCTTCCTCAAGGAAAAAAAGAGGAAGATCGGCAACAGATGTTAGCTCAGGGCAAACCTTCCTCAGCCAAAAAAAAAAGAAGAAGAACAAGAAAAGAAAAAAAGACGTAGGATATGTGATATTCTGCATATTTGAGGGATCCATTTTACCCTCCTGTAGCTTTTTTCTGCCACCCCAGACACCCACCTAGTTCTACACATTCCTCAGATGGCAATACCAGCCCAGTCTACTCATCTTTTATTAACAGGGAGCCTCTATTCTTCAGTGAATTTCCTTTCCATTCATTTTCAAATGACTTTTCTGATATGGGCATTGTTGAATATGAACAAGACAGAGGCAGAGGTATGTGTATGGATATATTTGCATAAGTATAAATACAGTATATGTACCCATATTTAAGTGATAAAATGATAATATTGTGTTACCATCTCAGAATGAAAGCTAATTAATTCAGCTATTGAGATGATAATGATTTCTTTCTCAGTTAATACCAGAGTAAAATATCCTTCAGAACTGTCCTAGCACTGTTCCTTTGACTCATCTTAGAACAAGAAGTTTTATTTTTGTTAACTATTGAGCTATCAGTGTCTACAATGGTTTTAAGGGAATCATTCCTGGGAGGGGCTGAAGATAAGTGGGGAGATTGACTGAGGTAGGCTAAAGTGGTCATTGAGCTCAATGATTTGGTACCAGGAAAAAAATTCTTTTTCCCCTATAGTCTCTTTTTAAATGCATGCTTTGGTATTTGCACTCCCAATATCAACATTGATCTGAAGCACAAAGTCTTTTTTTAGACTTTGCGTGGTTGGATTTGACATTTAGGAAAATGGTAAGATCTTTCCTACTGAAAGTTACACCAGCTGACAAATTTACGAGCAAGTCTCTGACTTTTTTAACCTTGAAGTCTCTAACTTTTCCTACAGCTTCCACTTTCATATTTAGTTAGTTACAAAGTCTTGAACGTTCCTCCGTTTCCTCCTCCCTGTTCTCACCACCTTGCATCTAATTCACGCACTGATTACCTCTTAGCTGGTAACAGTCTCCTGCCCCTAGTCTCTATCGTCCCTGTTTCACCTTTCTTCACCTTGAACCAAGGATTCTTCCTGACATGCAAGTTAGGTCATACCCTCCCCTGCCAAAACCCTTTGATGGCTTCTCTCTTTCTACACAGTAAAGACTCAGCTCCTTTGCTTGGTGTTTAAAGGCATTTAACCGTATTCTGTCCCACTGCATGCCCTCACCATCTCCCACTAATTCTCTCCACGCTCTAACCTCCCATCAAGATGAATTATCCACTCGTCCTTGGAATTTCCATAACTCCCAGCCTTTGCTCAGTTCCCAGAATGTCCTTCCTCCTTCACAGTCTATGTTTCAAAATACTACCTGTTCTTCAAGGTCCAGCTTAAATGCTACTTCCTTCATGAATTCTTCTCTTATTTCCCTTACTCAGAATTAATCATGGCCATTCCCAGACTTTTTAACACCTTTCCTTCAACACACTTGACTTCTAGCTGTTGGGAAATTGTCATATTTTACTTACTTTACTAGGACAATTTTTTATTGCCTTCTGCTAGAAAAATTGTCATAACCAATGTGTAAATCTCCATGTCTATGATGGAAGTGCTGCCCCCTCTTAAATTTGGCACAACCTTCACAAGCATATAGTGTGGTCCTGAAATGATCACTTTTTCATCCACATTCCAAAAATTTATTACTTAATTAGCTGTCCTATCACTCTCTCTTGTGTTATGCTGGGAATTTACTTCTTTGTCTTCTGACTAAGCTGGAAGCTCTGAGGACTAGAAATGTCTTATTCATCTCGGTATTTCCCAGGTCAGAGAATGCAGCTTTCAGATAGTAGGCACCTAATAATAAGTTATTCTACTCTCTTGTGACCCAAGGGAGGCAATTATAGTTATAATATAGTGGTTAAGAGAATGGGCTTTGATGCATGACCACCTGTCTTTGAATCCTCCTAGTACACTTATTAACCATATGATCATGGCCGAGTTGCTTAGCCACTCAGTGTCTTTTTTTCTTCATCTATAATATGAGGACATAGAATATTATCTTCATCATAAAATCTATATGAAGATTGAATAATTAAATGCAGGTAAAGTGGTTAGAACAATAGCTAGTGAGCGCTTAGTAAATGTTAGATATTATTCCAACAGGCTGTTCAAATGGAAAAACACTTGCTGTCTCAATTTCGGCAGAAGCATGAAGACACTACATTCCAAAGTGAGCACATCTTGCAGTGGGCGGTGAAGAACTAATTAAATATTTCACTTGCTTTGAGGGTATGAAGTGGGCAGGAGTTGGAAGTTATAGAGCAGTCTTTAAAGATTTTGGAGCATGTGACTAGTGTGTTATGAATCTCACATCCTCATTGCAAAGGGGTAATTGTGTGGTGTGGGTGTCTGCCGCTGGGGGCCACCACTGAAAAGTATAGTACTGTTGTAAGAATTAGGAAAAGGTGTCCCTCTTTCCCAAGGTAAAATCTATATGCTAAGGCGGCTCTGTTGCTTGAGGCCCAATGAAGGGGCCTTAACAGCATTACTTGAGGAGACTGGTATGTACCCCCTGAAGCATAGGGAGATGAGAGACTTACATCTGACTTTTACCTGAGAAGTTGAAAGGGCAAGAGGAAGGGTGGCTGACTGCTTATGGATAAGTGGGAGAGGGTTCTTTGCCGCAAAGAATTTGCTGGACCAGAGAAAGCTGGCATGGGGTTATCTTAAGTCCATGCCAAAAGGGCCACATGGAGGGACCTTGGAGTCAAGAGGATGGAAGTGAATTTCCAAATTTCTAGATTTCTGAAGAAGATGATAGAAGCCATGGGCTAGAACAGAGATGTATTTGCCCTTATCAAGGAATTTCAGAGGAAAGTATCCCAAAGATAGGAGGAGTTCTCTAAAGAACCAACCCAAAGGAGAGTCAATTTCAGAAACTTGCTGGGTTTCTAGCCAGCTTCTAACAATACAGGCAAGTAAGTGCTTTGCTGTCACTTTTTCCCACCATCCTCTCCTTATTTCCCACTCCACAGTGACTCTGGAAGTGTCAGGAACTGTGGTTAGCCAGATGGAGGGGAAAGAGTAGAGGTGGAAAGTGGAGAAACGGAGAAGCAGAAAGGAACACAGTCCCATCCCTCCCCGACTCTAGATAGCTTAACTGTAGCAGGCACAGGGGAGATGTTTGCTTTTAAATCACAGTTGACATTTTTGTTATTACACCGAGCTGGGCCCATTAAGTACTGAATTGAAACCTTGAATGTGACCTCTCCCTGTCTGCCTGGTAAACAACTCATTTTCCAAGATTTAGCTCAACACCCACTTCTGTGTCTGACCTCTTTATCCAGAACTGACCATTCTCCCTTACTCTTCAGCCCCAGCACAGCCTAGGAACACTTGATTTCACTTGTTTGGTTGTTTGGATGGCTTTGCCTTCAACCAGCCTCTAAACTCTAAGAGAGAAGAGATGACTTATTTGCCTTTGTGTCACCAACACATAGAGCTCACTGGCACATAATTGCCTCCCAATAAAGATATAAGGAAAGTAATATATCTAAGCAACAAACTAAGATTTTTCCTAAGAGAGGCTATAATTCAAACATCTTTATTTTTGAGAGATAAATTAAAAACAGCAGCTTTTCTGGAAGATGTAGTGCAACTGACATACTTTGTCACCAGTATGCTCAAGGATTGCCTGGTGCTCTCCAGGGGTTCACGAGAAAATGCTCTGGCATCTCTCAATCTTTATGTGTTTTTCTGAGTAGAAGTTGTTAGGAGGCTTCTTACTCCTTTCTGTATTTCTTCCACAGGTTTCTTCAGGAGAAGCATTACCAAAAACGCCGTGTACAAGTGTAAAAACGGGGGCAACTGTGTGATGGACATGTACATGCGAAGGAAGTGCCAAGAGTGTCGACTAAGGAAATGCAAAGAGATGGGAATGTTGGCTGAATGTATGTATACAGGTATTCACATCAAGAAATTAAATTCCACTAAAAATCTCTTAAGGAGGCAGATGTCAGGTAACTCATATGATTAGAATGGTATTTCACATTTTAAAGAAGGGATTTACTAAGCCATCTAAGTTCTTGAAAAGGGTAATGAGACACTGAAATTGTCCAAACTGTCAGCTAAAGAGCATTTTATTCACCTGAAAGAAATGGCTGTGTTTTGTTGTTCATTGTTGCAATGAATAATATGTAGAGTGAAGTGGCATTAACATACAGTTAGATAATATGTTTTAATAATCTACAAAGAATGACAGTCTAAAAGTTTCCTCCAAATTTGATTTAATAGCCTTCTTATTTATTGTTTAATTAACATAAAAATTCACAGTTGTGGGAAAAATTAAGAATGCTTTATAAGGTATAACTGCCTCTGAATTATATAAATAGAGTTTTAAACCAAGTTATTTTATTAAGAATCTTTCTCTTAGTGCAACTTTGAACCAATTTGTGTAGGTTTACACCGGAAATTAACTACTCCGAGTTTTAATATAATTTGGTCCTTTGATCTGATAAAGAGACACTGTATTAACTGCTGGCTTTGTGAGGAATGGCAATCTCCATCAAACTTTGGAATGCATGCTAGTATATAACACAATTAATTTTTCATTCTACAGACCACTCAGATTATGAGATATGAGCTGTTCCTCCTCAAAACACAAATAGACAAACAAATGTCACCAAGGAGATGATACATTTAGGGAGGGAATGCCACATGAAATAAAAGCCTTTGGAAAGCGACTCCAGTTCTATTGTTCCCAAACTGCAGAAGCAACTGGGATGGACCCAAAGAAATAACGCGTGCAGGAGAGGGAAAAATAGGTCAGTGTAAATAATCCAGTTCTGGGTGGATGAAAGTTTATAGTGGCTGATCACAATCTCCTCTCAGCATATGTGAAACAAGAGACTACAGTAGAGGCGGCTGCTGGAATCCAATCTTGCAATGGAAACATTTACTTTGATCTTGGGTGGTTCATGTTGCGCATTACTTAAATATGAAATTGTTCCAACTGAGGACGTTTGTCATGACTCCATCTACAAGAGTCTATAATATTATTTATGAACACAGACTCATCCAGTAACAGATGCAGAGCTTTCATAGGATCTTATAAAATAAATTCCCTGGACAAAGAAATTGCTGGAACTTAGTTTCATTAACATTGAGAGAATAAGGAAGTTAAATGGAAATATGGAAGATTGTTCTACATTATTTGTATAGCTCTGTGTAAGTGTAAATTAGTGATGATATTGTAAGATGATTCAAAAGAAAATTTCAAAGTCCCCTTGAATTATTTTCATCTTTAACTATGTTCTCAATAATTTATACACTTCTGAAAATTAACAGGATTTTAGAATTTTCCCTAAACGATGTTGACATTTGTTTTACTCGACACGTTTACTTATGTGTTTAACGTGAATTGAATATACTTCTTATGGTACAGTTATGTAAACATGGATGAAAAATAATAATAATATTATGTTTTGAAACATTAGCTTTCACAGTCCCCTAGACCAGGAATAGAGACAGTGTCACTTACCTTTTTATTGACTGAATACCTTGCATTTGCACAATGGTTTGGTATTACAAATCCTTTGAATAAAGCTCATTTAAAAAAATGGCCTGATTATATTTAATCTACACAAAACTCTGTAAGATTGATATTCCCATTTTACAAATGAAGAAATTGAGACTCACGGAGGATAAATTTCTTGTTCAAGACCAAGTCTTGAAATGTCTGGAGCGCTAGAATTATCTCTGTGCCTAGGAGCTAACTGCATAGGAGATATTCTGACCTGACTACACAGCATCTGCCTTGTGACCACATACCCAACAGTACTTTCTGTGGTTGGTGAAGTCTCTGTGTTTATTTTTTCAGGCTTGTTAACTGAAATTCAGTGTAAATCTAAACGACTGAGAAAAAACGTGAAGCAGCATGCAGATCAGACCATTAATGAAGACAGCGAAGCACGTGACTTGCGACAAGTGACTTCGACAACTAAGTCATGCAGGGTAATAACATGCAGCAGTGTCCGCCAAAGTCAGCACCAGCTGAGCTTCGGGGCTTTTAGTGATCTGGCTGGGGGGCTTTCAAATTAGAGCCATCGCCATAAGCATAATTGTGCATTAAATGCTTCGGTGTAAAAATTCACATAATAGCAGTATACAAAGTAAAAAGTGAAAGATCTCCTCCCTGGCTCCATTCCACTCCTACAACCCAGAGGTTGCTATAGAAATACTTCAATGTATAAAACAGATTTTTCAAACTGAGTTTTGAGGGCCGTTTTTTCCCTATCTTTGAGAAGGGAGGCTCAAACTGGGAAGGATGTGGATTCAATTAAAGCTTGTGGATCAGTCCTTATCAATGGGTTAACAGGGTGAATACACATCTGTGGATCAACAGAGAAAAGCCCTTCCCACTGAGGTCACAAATTACTCAAGAGTTCCTTTGAGCAACACAGGACAAAATAGAGAAACAGTATCTTGTATGCTTAGCTAAACACATTGTGATAATGCACAAGACATGTGGAGGAATTTTAATTTGCCATTAGTTGAAAAACCAATAATCCATGATTGTTCAAGTCACAGCCTTATCAATATTATGCTACTGACAAAGAAAACTTCATCCACGTTTGGTTTTTCAAATAATTTTATGTGAGTATTAATTTGTCATATGGCTTCCTCAATAACAACTTGGTATAAGAAAGCAAAGAGTTGACACAACTATTCACACTCTTTAAAAGATGCTAGTAAGGGGAAAAGAGATGTTTGAGGTCTGAATTATCCAGATTGGTGACTCTCTACTTCAGGGGTCAGCAAATTCTTTTCCGTGAAGGGAAAAGAATTTCTTTATTTTAGGCTTTGGCCACATGGTCTCCATCACAATTACTCAACTCTGCCATTTTAGTGTGATAATACATAAACCAACAAGTATAATTGTGTTTCAATTGATTTACAAAACAAGGTGGATTTTGTCCATGGGCTACAGTTTTTCAACCACTGCTCTACATGAATATCCTTCAATGGATTCTCCACTTCATATGTGGGAACCTTTCCTTAGTTATAATTAAGCCTTGAACTTTTACTGAACTTCTCTATGAATGTGCTCAATAGGACTCATATCCAGACTATTATTAATTCCCAATAAATACATGAAAGGAATATTTTGTTATCCCTATTTTATAGATAGGAAAATGAGCACCTTGGGACAAATTTAGTGAAATGTGATATGGCTTGCCCAAAGACCCAGAGAAAGCAATTACACATTGCAATAGAGCACATAGTTCCTTCCATATTTAGGGCTTTTTTCAACAGTTTCTGCTAGTGGTTTACTCCAGATGAATGTACATATAGGAAAAATGCTTTATAACCACCCTCCTTCACACCTTTTATTTTTTTGCCAGTGTAGGAGAAAACTGAACTCACCCCAGATCAACAGAATCTTCTACATTATATTATGGACTCATATAGCAAACAGAGAATGCCTCAGGAAATAACAAATAAAATCGTACGTACAACATCTGAAAATACATGGGTTTAAAGTTAATATTTTCTGGAGCTTTTACTACTTTGGAGGTGGGATTTATCTATGAATATGTTAGTTTGAAATGATTAGAGCTGAAATTTAAGCTATACATTTAAATTTTTAGGAGCATTATTAAACAATTAAGAAGTGACAAGTCTCACATCTATCTTAGTAATGGTAATTTCTCTCCAGGGATCTGAGAAATATGAGCTACATTTTAAATTTTATTATCTAAATCTGGTTCCCTAGTCTAATGATTTTGTATTGAATTATCCTTTTATCTACTTATTAATCATTTGCTTTTTTTTCTTAAAATTTAGTTAAAAGAAGAATTCAGTGCAGAAGAAAATTTTCTCATTTTAACTGAAATGGCTACCAATCATGTACAGATTCTTGTAGAATTCACAAAAAAATTGCCAGGTATTTTTCCATGTAGTTACTTCTCTGCTACACTATGCAACATTCTTGTGACATTGAGAGAGGCAGGTTTGTTCATTGTAAAATGGGAATCATCTCACATCTAATTTAAATTAATATGTCTAACTATTATAAACATGAAATGTTAGATATTCAAGTTATTTATAATAATTCTTCCGAATTGATATACTAAGAAATTGAGGCTTTGCAAAGTTGTTATTCATCCATTTATTAATTTAATAAGCATTTGTTGATACTCACTCTACACTAACTACTTAGCTATTACGTTCAAGGAGAGTGATTAAAGGATACAATGAAAAAATATATATACAAAGTGTTGTTTGAACAGAGAGGAAGTAGTTGCTAATTGTATCTGAGAAAGATAGGGAGGTTTCAAAGAGAATCACATTTGAGTTGAGTCTAGAAGAAAAGTGAGTTTTCCAGGTGGTATGGAAGAGAAGGGACATTGCAAGTTGAGAGATCTGCTTGTGAAAATATAATGAAGCATGAACAAGAATAGGATTATTAGAGAAGAGAGAGAAAATTCAGTGTTGCTGTAGCAAAATGTCTGTGGCTTTTTAGTTAGACATATGCTAATTTGGTACCAGATTGATTAGGGCCTAACTAAGGAATTCAATCTTTGTCCCCTGGATAGTAAAGACTTTTTGGTGGCTTCTTCTTGTTTTGAGAAGGAAGTGATGAAATTTGTGTTATAGATATGCCTTTATCAGGTTTTTATAAAATGGATTTGAACAGGCAGGGACTGGAGGCAAGGATGATCAGTTACTTTGATACTGCACCAGTCCAGGCAAGAGGGCTTGAATTAAAGCAAGAGCAGTGGGAGAGGGAAGAAGAAACAAAATAAAGAGAGATTCAAAAATTCATGGGACTTGATGAACAAGCATTCATCAAATGTGGGATGAGGAAAGGGATTTATCTACAGTGATTCAGATGGTGCCAGTACAGAAACTGGAATGCAAGATTCTTAGCTTCCAGCCCCCAGTTCTTTCAGACACATTATCAATGTGATCTAAGCCAATAGGTTTAAGTTGTTTCAGTTCTTTAAAAATATACTAGTATATTAGAATTCCATGGTCTAGAAGAGTTTAATAAATACCTTGTATAGCAGCATAATACTGTAATATTAAATTACAGAAGGTAACTTCTGACATAGGATTTTAATTAGACATGTTAATTTGCCATCTTTTGCCAGCATTATACTATTATTTTATTAAATGTGTCATGAATAGACATAAGCCTACATAAAACTCATAAAATGTGGGGAGAAATTTCTTATTGTCATTGAAACATTAGTATTCTCTCATTTCTCTATTAACAATGAAAGAGGAACTTAATTTGTTATATGCTAATTAAGCTGAAGGCAATCTTGATCAAAAACAAGATTACAAAAGAGTAAAAGCTGTGGGGGGAAGAATTGGGAAAGAGAGAATATGATGTTCTTGGTTGTTTGTATGAAAAGGTTTTTCAGTTCAAACGGTCAGTTGGTATTGAACCAAGAAATAATTGAAGACAAAAAAGAATAATAAGGTAGCTATCTGAAAGCAAAGGCAATATTGCACACATTTCCCCATTCCCATTGCCTAACCCAGTTCCCAAGAGAAAGAGTACAGTTAATGTCTGTTTAATGAGTAAAGCAGAAGGAAAAAATTAAAAATACAGAAGGAAATAAAAGGCAAAAAACCCTTGAGAAAGAAAAAAATTATTTTAGCAATAATTATAGAAATGATAACATTATTACAGATTGTAATAATAATGATATAATACCAATAATAAAAGGGTGTTTTGTGAAAGACCGAGTTGAGTAATTCCATCCTGCAGTTCATGGAATATAACCTGTGCCAGGCACTGTCCAGGGTGCTGGAGACCCCGCATGACTCCTGCCCTCAAAGGAGAGCTTAGATTTTCTAAGTGTTTCTTAACCCTTAGCATTACTCTCTTCTCTAAACTCCCATTGCTGTGTAATACTTTTCTAAGCCATTTAGACCCTGAAGGCATTAGTTTATCTCTAGTTGTGTTGTGTGTGAGTGTACACATGTGCAGGCGAGCTTGTGTTTGTTTCCCATTCATTCCTTCAGCCATTCAATCATTCGACAAATAGTTCTTGGATACCAATTCCCTGCCAGGCACTGGGGATACAAAAGTGAACAAAACTGGCAAAGTCTCTGCCCCCAAGAAGTTTCCACTCTAGTAGAATTTTCAGACAATTAACAAATAAGCAAATAAATTTATAATATTATATCAGGTAGTGGTAAGTTCTATGAATAAAAATAAAGCAGGTAGGAACTAGTGAGTGCTGGGGAGTACTATTTTAGGTAGAGTCACCTTGAAGCAGACACCTGCATACAGTGAGGAAGTGAGGCATGGGGATATCTGAGGAAGATAATTCATCCCTGAGGCAAAAGTAGGATTTTGTGTTCACAGCAGAGCCAGGGGTCAGTGTGGCTGGAGCACAATGGGTGAGGGGAAGGAGGAGGAAATGAGATCAAAGAGGCTTCTGGAGACTGTAGCATATACACTTGTATAAGGACTTTGGATTTTCCAGGTAGTGTTTTATTCTTTCCCATATTTCTCTGATTTTCCCCACCTTGCATGGTGCAGTGCTGAGTTCAGAGCAGATACTTCAACATGACTTTGATTGGTTTTCTTGGGAAATGCTACCCGTTCTCCAGATTGACTAAAGATTCATGAGATGGTCAAATATTCCGTTAATTTTCTGGATACATGTAAAGATTTTTCTGGATGTGGATGTTTCCATGATGCAGAATTGACCATGTGACATGAGATGTGACTAAATTAGTGGCTCAAAGAGAATCTGCTTGCCTTTAATTTCTGAAAGTTGCTTCATCTGAATCAGCCTGTCTCTTCCATAATACACGTATTTGGTTTGGACTTGACATCCTCTTTTGTCCAACTTTTTCAACAAATCCTACTCAGTGAAGATAAAAGTCAGCTTTTATCTGGAGGAGTACGAGAGATACTTATTGACTCGACTACCCAATCTTAAAACAATTACAAATCACTTTATGGAAATTTTTTATCAATGGGGATGATATTAATGATGAAATACTGTTATACAGCATTCACTACCCTTTGATACTGATTTGATTATCATCTTCATCCAGGATTTCAGACATTGGACCATGAAGATCAGATTGCTTTGCTGAAAGGGTCTGCAGTTGAAGCTATGTTCCTCCGTTCTGCTGAGATTTTCAATAAGAAACTTCCAGCTGGACATGCTGATGTATTAGAAGAAAGAATTCGAAAGAGTGGTAAGTGATTTGGTTAGTGGCGAAAAGAATTTGTTTCCGCAAGTAAGAATTTGTATACCTCATAAAGGCAGGCCTCTTGTCTATCTTTTTCAAAGTTATATACCCATTGTGACTAGCATGGAGAATGCCTCTAAAGAGATATGTGTTAAATAGATGGAACTTTTAGAGGCTTAGTTCAAAAATCCTTGTTGTAATAGCAAAATACCGAAAATGCTCTTTTCACTGCACTAAGGTGAAGGCCACAGGAAGAATTTTTAAAAGACTGGAAAATTAGTCTGATTAAAAAACAAAGTGTAAAGGAGCTGGGATTGTTCGGCCCAGAGGAAGATTCATTTATTCAAAACTCCCAGGTACAAATGACTATGTATCAAACTATTATCTATCTCTATTGAAAGTAAAATAAAAAGAAATAATAATAGAAACATTTATACATCATTTACTTGGTTACAGACACTGTTCAGAATACATATATGATTTCATCAAATCCTTGCAAAAATCCTAGGAAGTAAATACTACTATTGCTCCCAATTTAAAGATTTGGAAACTGAGATAGAGAGGAGTTAAATAACTTTCCCAGAGACAGACAGAAAGTCTGACTTCAGAAGCCATGTCTCTTAACCACTATGCTACACTGCCTCTCAAGAGACAAAATGAAATAACAGTATGAGTGACTCAGTTTAACTTATTACCGAGTAATACTGTGTCAGGGAGAGTCAAAAGATGTCAGAATGGATTACCAGGAACTCTGTGCAATTTATCTTAGCAGATACTTAAAATAGGATAAGTTCTCATTGTCCTGAGATTTTATATATGGGAAGTGGCTATGACTGAGATAAGATGACTTTTGAAGATTTTTTTCTTCCTAAAATGTTTTGGGAAGAAAAATATCCTTCTATGATTGGTTGGAACAAGTTTAAATAATCATAACACTGGTATTTTAGAATAGAGATTGGAAGGAATGTTTTCAGGCAGTTCTGCATCTGTCATATAAGTGAAATCATTTAAAAATTTAAAATTATTTTTTAAAAGCAACCTTCCAATAGTCATTATGTTTTCTCCTTTTAGTTAAAAACTGAAAGCATAATTAACATTGGTAGATTTAAAAAATATACTTTTTAAAAAGATGCGTTATTCTCATATATCCACTGACCATTAGTTTAACAACTATTGAAGTTTCTTCCCCTGGGAAACTTATAGTTGACTGGGAAGAGATGACCTGTGCAGAGATAGTTATAATAAAATGTGGAAGAGAAGAACTGGGAGAGAGCTGGCTTCCAGTTGGGAGGGCTCTGGAAAGGCTTCCTTGGCATTTGAACTGCACCTCGAGTGATATTTGATGTGATACTCAGGATAGGGTGCAGGAGAGAAGGACCAGCAGGAGCAAAGGACTGCGGCAAGAAAGCTCGACTTATGCACACAAAGAAGAGTGAATATTTGAGTTTGATTGGATTAATCGTTACATCAAAGAGAAATTTTTGAAAAGGCAGAACCAAATGGCTGAGCGCCTTGAATGTTGGGCTAAAGATTTTATTCTTTATTTCTTATGTAGTGGGGAGACCAAAGATTTTTGAACAGGGAAAGGAAAACATCAAATTGTGCTTTACAAATCTTCCAGAAATGTTAGGATAAGCCGGGATGGGAGACACCTGTTAGGATGGAAAAGTTTTCAAGGATGTGACCCCTGCTGCTAGAAGAAATGGAGAGGAAGGAAACGATCTGGGAAATATACCATTGCAGCTCTTCACCCTTTGAAAGACGTGTTGTTGAGAAATACGGATTCTGGTCTTGGACAGATTTGGTCACTTACCTGCTCTGGGCCTTAATTTATATTGTGTGTATGTGTGTCCAGGAGGCTGGGGGTAAGGGAGAAGGGTTGAATCGGGTAACCTCCAAGACACTATTCAGGTCTACAAGTCTTACTGTTTTTCTTCTCTTAACTAATTCAATTTTTCTAATTGGTGGTTTAGCCAGTCACTCAGCCAGTTACTTAAGTATCTCAATTTTAATTATTTTATTTTATTTTATGTTGTTGTTGTAAGAACATTTAACATGAGATCTATCCTCTTAAAAATTTTTAAGTATACCATACGGTATTGTTGACTACAGGTACAATATTGTACAGCAGATCTCTAAAACTTATTCATCTTGCTTAACTGAAACTTCATGCCATTGATCAGAAGGGGGAAAGAAGGAGTTACTAATCAATGGGCAAGTATCTTGATTTTAAAGTTGCAATTAGTAATTGACAGTTCAACTTAGGAAAGAGTTAAAGGATGCAAGCTGCTGAATTTTCACAGGTATGAATTTGTTAGTTCAGGATAGTGAATGTAAATTAGTGGTTCTCTCTCTATGCAAAAAATTGTTGTGGCTTCAGCCTGTAATGGGTGAAGTCTCTCCAGCTTAACTTGGTCAGTTATTTGGTTCTGGTTTCCATAGATTTTGACAGTACTGTGTTTAAGAAAAGCCATGAGTCAGATCTAATTTTTTTAAAACTAATAAAAAGGGATGATGACTCATATGACAAAATACTTTCAATTAAACGGATAGGTCTCTTTAACTATCAAAGGATCCTACTCTAGTTGATGCTTGTTGGGTTTAAACATTAAGTGACAGTGGTATTTAAGAATCCTGCTTGAATGTAGGCTCCATGACTTATTAGGTACATGTCCCATTTTTTAAAAAAGCTACCGAAATAGAACGCATAACTATTTAATCTCTTTGTAATCATGTCAAACTTTAATATTTGTCCTACAGTCTTGTCTGGATTTTGATATTAAAAACTCCATAGGCAGGGACTGCATCTTTTTGACTCAGTATTTTATTCCAGGGACCCAGCACATGCCTGGCTTGAAGTGGGTGTTCAACAAACATCTGTGAAGCGAATGAATGAATGGATGGATGGATGGATGGATGGATGGATGTTTGTCTGAAGCTATAAGTCTGGTCTATTTATTTACTTTTCAGATGGTTCTCCCCTTGAATATCAGAGTGACTGATATCCCAGACTGACAACTAACTAACAAAAAGTTCTCTCCAGACCTTGCCTATAGTAATTAATTTGGAGGACAGACATCCCTTTGCATTTGAGTGTAAGAAAAGGAAGAAAGACAGTTTGAGTAGGGAAGCTCTGTTGTGTTCTCTCTCCTCCTCCTCCTCAAAGATGAGTCATTTAAAATAGATTCAGGTGCCAGACAAAGAAAAAAAGGAGTTCAATTTCTGCCATATGAATTGAAATGTTTCGATAAGAGGACATCTGAAGGGAAATTATCCAGCAGCTGTTCTATCTCTCTCTCTCGCTCAGTTTTCTCTTTGCCTGGCTCCATCAATCTTCCGGGTTCTGAGCCAAGTCAGGTGCTGCCACTTCCATGATGACTACGGGGGCAGTCCCAGGTCTCTCCCCCAGCCTGGCTGAGGTGGAAGAAATCCCTTTTCACTCTGGTTAAGCTGAGAGAAAAAACAGATTTTCAAAAAAAAGAAAAAAAGTTTGTTAGAAAACTAAGAGGAAAATTGTAAATGTTTATATGGGTAATGTCTGGATCTCTTAATTATAGTGCCAAAAGCTAACAATTATTCAACATCTGCTCTGTGTTAGGCTCTATCCTAGGTTTTTGTGTGAACATGAGTTCTACAGGAAGCAAGACACCAAGATGGTGTTTGCAGGAGATTGAGGGAAATTCCTCTGAAGAATAAATGAGGAGGAAGCAGGTGTCAGGAAAGAGAGCCTTTACACCACTATGCTGATCTGACACCTGTGAAAGAGGGAAGGAAGGATTTGTAGGAAGAGCCTCAGACCACAGCACAGTTCTGAGAAAGTCTTATCTAGGCCAATAGGGAGGGACTAAGTCAAAGATGCCCATTGGAGGACTCTTCCATTGGGCAGGATTGGGCCAGCACTAATACACCTGCCATGCTTAGTCACTGGTTGGGAGAAGGCCAGTGCAAGCATGCTGCACCATTCACAGGAACCCACAGCAGGAGGCTATCAGTCAACTGTGCTTCCTATCTCTCATAAAGGGAGATGTGAGAGGGGCTCCTCCATGGCCAACATCATGCTTCACAAAATGTCTCATTTGTTCTTCATAATGCTTTGAGGTAAATATTATGAATCCTTCACCAGATGAAGACCCTGTTAATACCAATAACTTCCCCCTCCAAAATCTCAGTCCCAAGTATCCCTTCCCTCTGACATCTCCCTTTAATTTTCTGTCTAACACCCCTCTAGTGCCCTGGCTGCAATGATTCTTTGTTGCAAAACAATCTCCATTCATTGATCTTTCATTCACTAACCCTCCATCCATTGACTCTATTACCTTTCCCTCAGTGCTTGGCTTAAGGTTCATGGTTGGTCCATCAATATGATCACTTCCTTGGTTCGTTCACTGGATATCCTCAACTCCTTTGTCTTTCTGTCCCACCATCGCACTCACCTAAGAAAACCCCTTCTCTGATTGAGTAAACTCTCCGTCTACTCTGTGCTTTAACCTGAGAACTGAAACGATATGATTGGCCTGCTTTAAATTAATAACCACACACTTCAAATGAACCTGAGTACTGCCCACTTGTCCCACTTCCCTACTCAATTCACTCTTTTTTTTTTTGAGGAAGATTAGCCCTGAACTAACATCTTCTGCCAACCCCCCTCTTTTTGCTGAGGAAGACCGGCCCTGAGTTAACATCTGTGCCCATCTTCCTCTACTTTATATGTGGGACGCCTGCCACAGCATGGCTTGATAAGCAGTGGGTAGGTCTGCACCCAGGCTCTGAACCGGGGAACCCCAGGCCACGGAAGCAGAGTGTGTGAACTTAACTGCAGCACCACCAGGCAGGCCCCACTTTCTTACTCTTATGAGAAACCATTTCATATGTTCTTCTCTCTCTTCAAGCTTCCAACATCCTTCCCCTTCATTCTCAACTGATGATTTTGTTGAGAAAAAAAACAGATTTCAAGAACATACCATAGGAGCTGGGGTTCAAGGAAATGTAAACAAGCTTAAAGGAAG